CAGGGTGATGTCCTGGGGACAGGGTGGGGACAGGGTGATGACCTGGAGACAGGGCGGGGACAGGGTGATGTCCTGGGGACAGGGTCGGGATAGGGTGCTGACCTGGAGACAGGGTGGGGACAGGGTGATATCCTGGAGACAGGGCGGGGACAGGGTGATATCCTTGAGACAGGGTGGGGACAGGGTGATGTCCTGGAGACAGGGTGGGGCAGGGTGATGTCCTGGGGACAGGGCGGGGACAGGGTGACGTCCTGGGGCCAGGGTGATGTCCTGGGGACAGGGTGGGGCCAGGGTGATGACCTGGAGACAGGGTGGGGCCAGGGTGATGACCTGGAGACAGGGTGGGGACAGGGTGATGTCCTGGGGACAGGGTGGGGCCAGGGTGATGTCCTGGAGACAGGGTGGGGACAGGGTGATGTCCTGGGGACAGGGTGGGGCCAGGGTGACGTCCTGGGGACAGGGTGGGGTCCTGGTTTGTGCTGGGGACAGGGCATGGCAGGGTAATGACCTGGGGACAGGTCGGGGACAGAGTGGGGTCCTGGTTTGTGCTGGGGACAGGGTGGTGGCAGGACATCCGGGCAGCATCCGTGGCTGGGCCTTTATGTGCTAGCAGCCACGTGTGTGCCTTGTGCTGGACGTGCCCGCCGTGCCATTGAGTTACTGTCGTGAGACCCCTGCTCCCCCGCCCAGGGCCGTGCGTGGAGGCGGCCCACGTGGCCTTGGCCCCAGTGTCCGTGGTGGCCTCACTGACATTGGGCACCTGCTCCTGAGCTGGTAGGGAACCACGGAGCACTTGGGCGCCAACTTCAGGGTGGCCCTGGCCTGTGCCCGGCTGCTTGTCCCCGGTCCTTCCTCGGGTCAGGATTCACGGGAGACTCGGCAGGAACCGGTGTCGTGCCTGGGACGCAGGGACAGCCCCAGGACGAGGGCCGGGACGCCGTCCTCCCCAGAGTGAGGAGCCAGGGAAACCGGGGCAGACGCGGAGATTCTTCTCGAGTCCCGTGGAAAACACCCGCGCCAGGGCTGGAAGGCTCTGCAGGCAGGAACGCACACGCGTGTGCCTCCTGACTGGACAGCACCTTCCAAATTCGAGTTCTGTGGCTTCGCTGTTCGCTCCTCTGAGTCCAGACTTAACCCCAAACCCTGGAGTTGGCGAAAGCCAGGCTCAGCGTGTGGCCCGCGAGGCTCTGAGCCTCAGCGTGTGCCCCGACCTCCCGTGGCTCGAGCTCCAGCAGGGCCTGCTCTGCACCTGGGGACCCCTCGGGACACTTGGGGGACTTTTTCTTCCAGGCGGCTCCTGCAAGAGGCAGTTGCTGCCAGCGTGAGGTGTAGCCACGTGCGGGCCGTGGACGTGGCAGCTCCACTGAGTACGGAACAAACAGAACTCATTTCGAGGCAGCAAAAGCAACATCCTGTGTCCCATGAATGAGGCCAGTCCCTGACGAGAGTTTTTGCCACTGTTTGAATTCGGGTCTGGGCAGACCTGTTGCCACTTAGCAACCAGGGCTGGCGTGGGCTGTGCTCTCGGGGGCCCGGTGGTGGGATTCCCAGTCTTGCCCGAGGTCCCTGGGTCGAGAGTCACTCACAGGGTGCGTTTCCCGTCTGTAGTGGACCACAGAGCTGTGGGCCACAGAGTCTGTGCTCCACCGTGACAGAGCGGGTCCGGGTGCTGTGGCCAGTGGGCCGGGCTCAGTGGTGCAGAGCAGCCGACTCGGTGGACCACGGGGTCCACTTGTTTACCGTGGTGCTCTGGGGACACTCACTGTTCCTCTCGGTGCTGCCTGGAGACCACGGTCGCCCTCCCCGACCCGGGACCCTCCTCTGGTGTAGAAAGGCCCACGCTACAGCCTGCCCGGGGGCTCCCAGCTCTCCCTGTGCACCGGCGGCCAGCCAGGTCCTGGCCTCCCCCATCCTGCGCCCTGGCTTGTCCACCTGCCGGACGCTCCACGAAACCACGGGAGGGCGCCAGAACCCTGCGGTGGCTGTCTCCAGCGGCAGGGCCCCGGCAGAGGCATCCAGCGGGCCCCGCCAAGGGGCAGGGCCCAGGCGAGCGAGCGGATGCACAGACCACAGGGAACGTGGAGCGTGGTCCCAGGGAAAGGCCGGTGAAGGCCACAAACGTCCCAGGGACAAAGTGGCAGGTCACGTGCCTCAGGAGGGCACGCCCACTGGGGCTCAGTGTGACCCTCACTGGCCTCAGCGTCTGCAGACACGCCAGCAAGACCACGTGGGGGCTGGAGACCACATTACGTGCCGCAGGTCGCAGTGCTAAATCGTCCGCTCCTCTGTGATTTTCAGAGCTCGAGTCTCGACCTCCTGCGTCAAATGTTCGTCCCCAAGTGTTTTATTCTTCTTGCTGGGATTGTGTTCTCAGTTTTCTTTGTGGATTCTGCATTGCTCGTGTATAGAAATACAACTGGTTTGGGCGTCGATCTTGTCCTGCAACAAGGACAAGGACTTTGCTAACTGCCTTCTGTTAGCTCTGATCGGTTCTCCGTTAACTCTTTCGGATTTTCTGTACATACATGACAATCTCGCCGTCTGTGCACGGGGATGGTTTTGCTTCTTCCGTCCCAATCTGGATGGCTTGTACTTCTTCTTCTTGCCTAGTTTTGCCAGCTAGAGCACCCAATGCAATGTTACTCTTCTCATTTTCTTGGTCTAGTGAAAGGTTTACCAATTTTGTTGATTTTTATTTATTTGTATTTTGGAGAGTCGCTCTGTCACCCAGGCCGCAGTGAGTGGCGTGTGGCTGTCCCACACACTCCGTGACCTGCAACAACGCACACGCAGCACCTCACCGTGTGGACGCTAGAAATCCAGCGTCAGGGGCCAGGCGCGGTGGCTCACACCTGTAATCCTAGCACTCTGGGAGGCCAAGGCGGGCGGATTGCTCGAGGTCAGGAGTTCGAAACCAGCCTGAACAAGAGCGAGACCCCGTCTCTACTATAAATAGAAAGAAATTAATTGGCCAACTAATGTATATAGAAAAAATTAGCTGGGCATGGTGGCACATGCCTGTAATCCCAGCTACTCGGGAGGCTGAGGCAGGAGGATCGCTTGAGCCCAGGAGTTTGAGGTTGCTGTGAGCTAGGCTGACACCACGGCACTCACTCTAGCCTGGGCAACAAAGTAAGACTCTGTATCAAAAAAATAAAAAAGAAAAAAAAAAAAGAAATGCAGCGTCACGCCACGGGGCCAAAGCCAGGCATGGCAGGGCCAGCTCCCCCTGGGGGTCTCCCCTCCGTATCTGTCCAGCACGGGGGTTGCCGTAGCCACCTGCCCTGGGGCTGGCTCCACTCCTTCCCGAAAGCCAGCTGCCTGGGGTCCTCTCTCCGCCCTGACCTTTGTCTTACAAGGATGCCGTGATGCCATCAGGCCAGTTGATGTGGGACAGTCTCCCGTCTCGAGACCCCTCCCCTGACCCCATCTGCAAAGTCCCTTTTGCCGTGGGAGGCGACACACGCACAGGTGCAGAGACCAGGACCTGGCCACGCTGGGGGCCGCAGGAACTGGCGCCCAGTCTCGTGTGCAAGCGCTCACCTGCCCCCCCTTTGTGGATGGCCAGCCCCCCCACACACACACACACCCCACACAGCCCTCTGCCCCAGATGGAACGCCGTGATCTCAGGCCAGCTCCCGGCTTGTCCCTCCGTGAGCTGTCTGGTCTTTGCTGCTCCACCCCGACCTCTCTCAACGCCTGTGCTCCGTAGTGCCCGTAGCTGTGCTGCAGACTCTGCGGAACGTTCTGTGCCATCAGTCACGTCCTCTGCAAATAGAAACGTGTTTTCTTCTTCCTCTTTCATTGGCTGCCTTTACTTCTTTTCCCCGCCTCGTGACAAATGCCCTCGTCACTGCACAGCAGGGCCCGTGCGGGGGCGTCCTTGGGCTGTTTTTGATCTTAGAAGGAAGACGCCCAGTCGTTCCGCATTAAGCATGACACTAACTACACGCTTTCCTTGGCACCTCTTGCAAATTGAGGCCGTGGCCTCTGTGCCCGGCTGCTGAGTTGTTTTCATGATGGATCCATATTTAACCTTGTCAAATGCTTGACCACCTCGATTAAAACAGTCGTGTTGTGTTCTCCTCGCTGGGTTTACATGCCGAGCTATGCGGGCTGATTTTTATGAATAGCAAAACCAAGTTTGCATTTTTTTTTTTAGACAAGTCTTATGTGGTCATGATGTTTCCATCTTTTTCATGAAGTTCCTAGGTTTCACTTGCTGGTACATTGTTACGCTGTCTGTCTTCCCGAGGCACGTTGCAAGGTAACTGACCTTTCTTTACGGTCTGGTTTTGGTGTGAGGGTCGTGCTGGCCTCCTAAAATGAGTTAGGAGATGCTCACTCTTCTTTCACTGTCCAAAAGAGCTTATGTAAGATCTGTGCTATCTCCTCCCTAGATGTGTGGTCAACAGACCAGGGAACCTTGTCTGTTAGATGCTTTTAAGAACTGAATTCAGTTTGTTTTTTTTTTTAATAAATATAGGAAATTCCAATTTTCTAATTCTTTTTGTTTTAATTTTGGTAATTGGTATTTTTCAAGGAATTTATACCTTTCGTCGAAGTTGCTACATCTTTTGGCACATACTTATTTGTAAGATAGACTTGCTGTTCTCTTGCTCTCTGAGGATACACAGTGATAACCCTCTTTTTTGCTACAGACCGAGAATTTGTCTTCTCTCTCTTTTTCCTCGCTCAGTGTAGCTAAGAGTTTATAGTTTTGTTGATTTTTCCGGAAAATCAACTTTTGGCTTTGGTAATTTTAGCTGTGCTTTCTTTATTTATTTCTGCACTTATCTTTATTATCTCCTTCCTCCAGTTACTTGGGGCCTACTTTGACCTTCTGTTTTTCTACTTTGTTAAGGTGGAATCTTAGGTCACTAAAGTGTAGGTCTTTCTTTTTTTCTAGTAAAAAACATTCAAAGCTATAAATTTCCCTCTATGGCCTGCTTTAGCTGCATCCCAGAAATCTTGATTATGTTGTATTTTCTTTATCATTTTTTAAAATATTTTCTAAATTTCCTTGGGATTTCGTCCTTGCTCCGTGAATTATTTACAAGTGTGTTGTTAGATCTACAAATATTTGAGTGTTCCTAGTAAGCTTGTTAATTTCTCATGTCATCTAATTGTCATCAGAGAATATACTCTGTGATTCCAATCCTTTTAAATTTACTGAGATCTGTTCCATGGTGCATGATACCTTCTACCATGGTGAGTAGTCACATGTGCTTAAAAAGAATGTGTGGATATTCCATACAGAGCAATTAACTCAAGTGAACATCCTTTACTGACTTCTGTCTAGTTGTTCTAGCAACTACTAAGACAGGGGTATTAGAATCACCAGCAATGATTTTGGAATTGTCTATTTCTTTTAATTTTGTCAATTTGGGTTTTTTTTTGGTTTCGTTTTTTTTTTGTTTTTTGGAGACACAGTCTCCCTCCATCACTCCCTCCGGAGTCGTGTCATCGTAGCTCACAGCAACCTCAAATTCCTGGGCTCAAGCGATCCTCCTGCCTCAGCCTGACTACAGGCATGCGCCACCATGCCCGGCTAATTTTTTCTATTTTTAGTAGAGATGGGGTCTCATCCTTGCTCCGGCTGGTTTTGAACTCCTGACCTCAAGCGATCCTCCCACCTCTGCCTCCCAGAGTGTTGGGATGACAGGCGTGAGCCACCGTGCTCCGCCTGGGGTCATGTATTTTGCATCCTCTCTCAGACTGTGCTGACATCATTGGGAGTGCTGCTCTGTCTCCTCGTCCTAACGTCTTTCTCTGGGTTTCCGTGTGGCCGCTCCAGCCTCCCTGGGCTCACAGTCAGCGTTGCACGGTCTTTTCCATCCATGTACTTCTGACCCATCTCTGTCTTTTAGTTAAAGTGCTTCTATTCTAGATATTAACGTATCACAAACTCCACAAGGCAATGTTAAACTTCTTCCGTTAAACAGTCATATCTATTTCAAAGGGATTACGAGGAAACGGTCTTTTACGTTTATGCCACAATTAGCCTTTCTGGTGTTCGTCACTCCTTTCCGACGATCCGTGTCCCCTCTGGTACAACACCCCTCCAGGCTGGGTAGTCTCGTGGCATTTCCTGGAGCACAGGCTGGCTGATGGCAAATTAGGCTCACTTTTATCAGAGAGTGTCTTTAGGCCGGGCGCGGTGGTTCACGCCTGTAATCCTAGCACTCTGGGAGGCCGAGGCAGGTGGATCGCTCAAGGTCAGAAGTTCGAAACCAGCCTGACCGGGACCCCATCTCTACCAAAAATAGAAAGAAATTAATTGGCCAACTAAAAATATATATACAAAAAATTAGCCAGGCATGGTGGTGCATGCCTGCAGTCCCAGCTACTTGGGAGGCTGAGGCAGGAGGATCGCTTGAGCCCAGGAGTTTGAGGTTGCTGTGAGCTAGGCTGACGCCACGGCGCTCACTCTAGCTTAGGCAATAGAGCGAGACTCTGTCTCAAAAAAAAAAAAAAAAAAGAGAGAGTGTCTTTATTTCACTTTTCTTCTTGAAGGATATTTTCTTGGGATGTAGAATTCTGGGAAGCACATATTCCCGGGGGGTCACGGAGAGTGACCCTAAGAGGAGCCGCCCTACTCGCACCTGGGGTCTGGCGCCGTGTTGCACGTGTTGGGGCCGTGTGCCGTGTTGCTGTCGTGCAGAGTCCGCCACACCCAGGAGCACAGCGCCCTTCTTACCAGGCATCTCTCTGAGCTGGGCCCTCGGCCGCCCCTTCAGGGGGCCACCATGGCTCCACAGGGCTGGCAGCTGTGGGTGGTGGCACCTGTGATGGGCCAGCATGCTCCATGTCCTGTGCACAGGTGCACAAGCTTGGCACAGCTCCAGGTCCTCAGATACACGCCGTCCCGAGCCCAGGGCTGGACACCTGAACCCTCTCAGATGGAGTCGCCGGCTGAGGCTCCGTGGAGGGAAGTCGGCCCACGCCTGCACCGTGGGCCAACTCCCACCAGGATGAATGTGTCCCTCCCCAGCACGAGGTCAAAGGCCAGCAGCTTGCCCCCAAGCAGCTGGACACAGCAGGTCTCCATGGGTCGGACAAGGAGCTGAGACAGGCCGTCCAAGTTTCCCACCCTGGGGCTATGCGTGGGCTCTCAGAACCCGTGGACACAGGCTGGGCTCGGGGAGAGGGCGTGACCTGGGGACCCTGGTGGGAAGCGCACCTCCACCCAGGGCCAAGTGACCCAACTCAGCATCCTCTCGGCTCCCGTCCTCACGCCACGGGTACATGTGTCCCCAGTACCTGTGCCACCTCCACCGGGGGCTTCCACTTGTCCCTGCTGAGTCTGCAGCGGCAACGGCCCTGAGTCTGCAGGGCCTGGCCGAGGTCCTCCGCGTGGCCCTGGGCTCCTTGGTGGGGTTGGTGCTGGTCGGATCCGGACGGGCTCGGCCCAGGACACCAGGCAGCTCCCAGGGAAGGCGGAAGGATGGTGCTGTCCTTCTGGGAGGACTCAGGCCAGGCGGGTCAGCACCTTCTGCTCTCCGACAGGTTCTACCTCGTCAGTGGAGGGGTTCCATTCATCATTTGTGGGGTGACGGCCACCACGAACATCGGGAATTACGGGATGGAGGACGAGGAGGCTGCATAGTGAGTTCAGGGCCACCCAGGAGAGAGGGGAGGTGGGGAGGGAAGGCCACCTGCCCAGGGCAGGGCAGCCAGGAAGGCGTCTGGCAGCGGCGCCCTCTGCTGGTGGACCTGGGCCGGGGCGGGGACCCAGGAGGCCACCCGCTAACTGTCCCAGGTGCTGCGGTGAGGGGGTCCCAGTATCAGGTGCTGGCCCCTGCCTGGAGTGGCCACCCAAGCCGTGCCCTTCCCCTGCCCGTACTCCCCATGGGTTCGTGGAGCCCCCTCCTCTCTAAGGACTCAGTTTCCCCCTTCAATCTCTTTCCCTGGACACGGCAGGCCTGGTTTTCTTTAGATAAGAAGGGCCTGGGAGACAAGGAGCGACTAGGCAGCACCACTGAACTCAGCTGAGAATGGAAGCCCCATTCCTGAGTAGGAACAGATCCAACCCATCCCCCTAAATCAGTGCCCAGAGCCCCACACACACTCCAGCACTGCCCAGGAGGCCCAGAGCACCTGCTGGCCCGGTACAGCTCCGCCCACACAGCTCCGCCCCACCTGACACCCCCGCCTGCCCCCCCTTCGCCCCCTGACTCTGTCTCCACCCCCCACCTGGCTCCACCCACCCAGCTCCATTTTCCCACCCTCCTCGCTCAGGTCACCTAGGGGGGTGCCCCGCCCTCCCGAGCAGGCAGAGCCAATAGGGCCCGTCCGCGCACAGACTTTCTCAGGACAGGTGGGCGGCTCCGCAGAGCACCTCGCGGACAGGTTCAGTCCGGGACAGCTGCCCACGAGCGCGCGCCCTGGGCCCCGGCCTTTGAGCTCCGTGGGGGGCGCCACAGTCGGACGCGGAGGCAGGGGGCCCGGCCAGGTCCGGCCCGGTCCGGTCCGCGAGCCAGACTCCGCTGACCCGCCCCTCCCCGCAGCTGCTGGATGGCCTGGGAGCCCAGCCTGGGCGCCTTCTATGGGCCGGCCGCCTTCATCGCGCTGGTCACCTGCGTGTACCTGCTCGCCACCTACGTGCAGCTGCGGCGCCACCCCGAGCGCAGGTACGAGCTGCGCGCACGGCCAGAGGAGACGCAGCGGCTGGCGGGGCCCGAGGGCGGCCTGCGGGTGTCCAGGCCCGGCACGCCCCCCGTGCGGGACACGCCCGCGGCGTCGCTGCTGCAGAACGAGCACTCGCTGCCCGCCCAGCTGCGCGCCGCCGCCTTCACGCTGTTCCTGTTCGTGGCCACCTGGGCCTTTGGGGCGCTGGCCGTGTCGCAGGGCCACTTCCTGGACATGGTCTTCAGCTGCCTGTACGGCGCCTTCTGCGTGACTCTGGGGCTCTTTGTGCTCATCCACCACTGCGCCAAGCGGGAGGACGTGTGGCGGTGCTGGTGGGCCTGCTGCCCCGCCCGCGCCGCCGCCCCCGCCGGCGAGCTCGGGGCACGCGCCGCGCTCCACGCCAACGGGGACGCGCCGTGCCTGGGCCAGCCGCGGGGCTTCGGCCACTGCAAGATGACCAACGTGCAGGCCGCCCAGGGCCACGTCAGCTGCCTGTCGCCCGCCACCCCGTGCTGCGCCAAGATGCACTGTGAGCAGCTGATGGAGGACGAGGCCCATGCGCACCTGCACGGGGAGGACCCCTTCGGGCATGACGCACACCTGCACAGGTGCCTTAAGGGCAGAACTAAGCTGCACTACTTCAGCCGGCACCAGGCGGCCGCCGAGCCGGAGTACGCCTACCACATCCCGTCCAGCCTGGACGGCAGCCCCCGCAGCTCACGCTCGGACAGCCCCCCCAGCTCCCTGGAGGGCCCGGTGGGGGCGCACACGCTGGCCTGCTGTGCCCAGGGTGACCCCTTCCCCATGGTCAGCCAGCCAGAGGGGGACGGCCTCTACGGCTGCCCCCCAAGGCTCGGGAGGGAGGCGGCCCTCGGCCCCGGCCACCTGGAGATGCTCCGGAGGACACAGTCCCTGCCTTTCGGGGGCCCCGGCCAGGACGGGCTGCTCGAGGGCTCCTTGCGGGAATGCCTGCCCTTCAGCACCGACCCGACGGGCAACATCCGCACCGGGCCCTGGAAAAACGAAACGACCGTGTAGACTGTGGGGAGGTGTCCCTGGAGGGGCTTCGGAGCAGCGCGGGGCTGTCTGCCACGTGAGGCCCGTGGGGGTCACCCAAGTGACCGACCCTTTCGGGAGTGGTTCACATCTCCCAGCCGACCCCTTCCTTGTGAGAGACCCCAGCGGGGAAAGCGCTTTGGGCCACCCCGCCTCTGTCCCCCTGCACAGTCACCGCTTTCTGTTCCGCAGCCTCCAGCCCCGGGATTCTGTCAAAGGAAGCGCCCAGACCCAGGTGGCTCCGCGCTGTGGCCAAGGCCTGCGGAGCCCGGCCTCCCGCCGTCGGGCTGTGACCCGACCTGGTGTTTCGTGTGTGTCTTGGCTCTGTGCCCTGGCACCGGGGCCCTGGGCGGCGGCTGCAGGCCTCTCTCCCCTGAGCTGTGCCGGAGTTGCCGCCACCTCCCTTGGGGGACCGGCAGCCGCTCTGCCAGCTCAGCGTCCCCCGCCAGCCTCGGTCCCGGACGCAGCCCTGGCCCCCAGCCGGCCAGAGGACATCGCAGGTGCTGGACGACACGGCTCCGGCACCACTGGGGCAAGGCCTCGGGGGCCGCTGCCTTGGAAAGCACCCAAACGGTCTTTCCTGGAGACTCAGCCTCCAGATCCAGCCTCCGTCAGGACTGGATGCCCGTCCAGCGTGGGCGCTTGGGAGCAAACCACTTCTGCCCCGGAAGGAACAGGGGCTGGCGGGTGGGCGGTCCTCACGGACAGAGTCACCTTCCCTTTGTTGCAGCTCCACAAACATCTGGGCACGGAGCCCTGACTTGAAGGACAGGTGTGGATGGCGAGACTTCTGTGGGAGCCATGTGTGCAGAGGGGCCTGCGTGTGAGGCTGTGCACGGCTCTTCCTCCCCCCACCCCCCGTCTGTGGCAGCTGTGCATACATGTGTGTTTACACACATGCACACAGACATGTGCACACACCATGCACACGCACGTGCACACACAGAGGTAGTGTGTTTTCTAGCCTCCCTGAGCACTGGGTTTTCACGCAGACGACGATGTCTGCAGACGTGTCGGTGTGCTCTGGCCTCGGGATGGGGAGGGCCACGCCAGCGGGAGACCCTCAGAGGGGTGAGGGGTGTTCCCGGCGCCTGGAGGCTCAGCATCTGAGTACAGGGAGCCGCTCCCGGGATGTTTGTGGACCGCGGTGTGGCAGCTCAGCGCCACGCTCCGCCCCAGCAGACCCGTGTGTCCTCGCGGGTCGCCCAGACAGGCAGCCGAGTGACCGCCGAGCGGTTCTGTGTCCGTCGCTGTCCCACCCGTTCACCTGCTCCCACCGCTGATGAGCCAGAGCCCGGCGCTGTCTGTGTACACGCGGTAGATGCAGAACCGTCCAGACAAATACAATATTTTGCATTGTTTCCCGCTGTGAGTCTGGTTCATGGGTCCCTGCGCGCTTCTTGCCAATGATGGGGGCGGGGCACGTTGGGGGGCTGGGCTGGGGGCTGGCGAAGCTGCTGCTCCCCGGCCCCCCGGCCCCTCACGTCCTTCCTGCCCTCAGCGCCCCTGTCCCGACAGGGGGGACCTCACCCTCACCCTTCAACCAGAGAGTCACAGTAAGCCCCATTGTGTCTCTGCGTTGATGTGGCCTCCTGAGTCCACTCGGGACCACGGTTGTGGCGGACGCATCTGCATGTCTTGTTCTGGAGCACGCGAGTTCCCAGCCCAGCAGCACCGAGGGTCCCTGACATGGAGTCAGCTTCCACGGGGCTGTGAAACGGATCGGGCCCAAATCCCGTTGTCTGCAGCCCAGGTTGTTGTGCCGCTTCCTTTAGGTGTGTGCTAGTGTCCATGCGTGTGGATGGATGCGAGGTGAGTGTGCACGCGTGTGGGCGGATTAAAAATTTAGATGAGATTTGGTATGAAAAATGCCCCCTGTGGCTCACCTTGCCCATCCCCTGCTAAGCTCATCCTTTATCTATGCCTAGTCCTAGGGCAACCACCTGGAGATTTTGAGTCAGGGACGTCAGCTCCTAAGGCTATTCCGGATTTATGGTTATCGCTGCCATGCCTGGGTGGTTACATATAAGGAACTAACTTTAATCTTTTAGAGTATAAATATAAAACAAACCCAGTGGATTATTACTCGAGTCAACCCTTTGTACATGTGTCTCTGTTTTTCTTTGTGTTCTGCGTTTGTGTTTTATGTTCTGTGTTCATCCTCCGTCCTGTAAACGGGCCACGACACATCCACCCACACACATGCACTCACATCACATCCACCCACACGCATGCACTCACATCACATCCATCCACACGCATGCACGCTCACATCACATCCACCCACACGCATGCACACTCACATCACATCCGCCCACACGCATGCACCTCACATCACATCCACCACACCGCATGCACCGCTCACCTCAACATCCGCTCACACCGCATGCACGCTCACATCACTCCACCCCGCGACCAAAAGCACACGCATAGCACGCTCACTCTCACATTCCGCCCACAACGCATGCACGCTCACATCACAGTCGCCGCACGACGCAATGCACGCTCACGTATCACATCCGCCCACAGACGCATGCACGCTCACATCACATCCGCCCACACGCATGCACGCTCACATCACATCCGCCACACGCATGGCACGCTCACCTCACGATCCGCCACACGCATGCACGCTCACCTCACATCCACCCACAGAACCATGCAACTGACTCACCTGCACATGCCTCCCAACACGCAATGCACGCTCACCTCACATTCCGCCCACAACAGCATGCACGCTCACCTCACATTCCGCCCACACGACGTAGGCATCGCTCACCTCACATCCGCCACACGCGTGCACCTCACATCAACATCCGCCAACAACGCGGTGCACGCTCACATCATATCCGCCCACT